GGCACAGGATATGAATAGACACTTCACCAAAGAAGACATTCAGATGGCTAACAAGCACATGAAGAAATGTTCAAAATCCCTAGCTCTAAAAGAGATGCAAATCAAAACAACTATGAGATATCATCTCATCCCAGTAAGAATGGGAAAATTTAACAGAACAGCAAACAACAAATGCTGGTGAGGTAGTGGAGAAACTGGAACCCTTATTCACTGTTGCTGGAAGTATAAAATGGTGCAAAAACTGTGGAAGGCACGGTGGCGCTCTCTCAAAAAGTTGCAAATAGAGATACCATTTGACCCAGCAATTCCACTACTGGGAATATACCCCAAAAGACCATAACTGCCACCCAAACAGATATATGCACACCCATCTTTATCACAGTTTTGTTCACAATAGCAAGGAGTTGGAAACAGCCTAAGTGCCTATCAACAAACAAATGGATAGAGAAGCTGTGGTATATTCACACAATGGAATACTACACTGCTTTGAAAAACAAGGAACTCATGCAATATTATTCAAAATGGGTGGCCGTGGAGGACATTATGCTGAGTGAAGTCTCTCAGTCACAAAAGGACAAATACTGCATGGTACCACTGTTGTAAAACAGGACTGACCTTGGGTTTGGGGGGGAGACTGAGAAAGATGGGTTCAATCATGTATATTGCATTGAAACAGATGAGGGAGAAAACTGTTTAAAAGGGATATGTGGTTAGGTATTTTTGTCATGACAGGAGTCCAGAGCAAAGACTGCATAGTGGAGTGTACTTGGGAGGAGGGATTGTAAAACAATGAAAGAATTTTTCTTTTACTTTTCAAAGAGAAGAGTTACTGGGCGGGGGGGGGGGAGGTGTGGGCAGGGAGAAAAGTGCAACAATGAATGAATGGAAATCCAAAGACTCTGGAAATTTTCACTGAAATTAATAATAAAAAAAATTTAAAAAATCTGAACATAGACATTACATATGACCCAGCTATCCCATTGCTTGGAATATATACCTAGAAAATGAGAACCGAGGCACAGAGACTTGTACACCAATGTTCATAGCTGTGTTAATCACCTACGTAAGAACAGAGAAACAGCCCAAATGACCAACCACAATCAAAAAGATTGAGAAATTATGGTACATTCATACAACGGAATCCTATGCAGCATGCAGGAGCAATTATTTTGTAAATTATTACCTGGTTTGGGAGGGACAGGTGAGCATTATGATTACTGAACTGACTCCATCCCATAAGGACAAATATTGTATAAAACCATTATTGTAGAATGAATATGAGGATCCAAGGGAGGAGGAGGGGTAAAAGCAGAGGGATGAGCATGTGTGGGGGTGGGGAGTAGGAGGGTGGATTAATTATGAGGTTGTACCATTTGTTGGGGGTGAGGGAAATTGGAAGAATCTTATCTGAAAAATATTGTATTCAAATTTTGTAAATAAACTTGTATAATAATATTTTTTTTTAAAGTCCAGAAAAAGTTACACAGAGAAAGAAACATTCTTTGGTGGTTACCAGATGTGAGAAGGGAAAGGTGAGTAAATTACTAACTAGAGAGTAAACTTGGGAGAAGGGAGAAGAGGTCAGCATAGCACAAGTCAAAGGAAGTCCTTGGGAGGTAAACAATGTTATAAGGCAACAAAGGTAAATCTTTTACAAATTCAACCCTGCAATAATAGTGGCAAACAGTATTTAAAAGGAAATATATGAGTAGACATGTAAACTGAACAAGTATGGTATACTAACTAGAAGTACACCCATAATTATATATAAGGACAACAGAGTAGATTTCCACAAGTTTGTATGTGATGCAATTATACTCATGGATATAGTATACAGAGGGAAAAAAAAAAAAGAAAAAGAAATCACACCAAAAACCTTCTTAGCCATTGTTCATAGACTAATTAATTACCCTGAGAAAAGGAGTTAATGGACTTGGAGCTTCAGACCACAGTCTTGAGTGGTTTCTAGCCAACTGACATAACATAGTTCACAAAAGACAAAGTGCTGTATTTTACTTCATTGAGAAATGAGTGGGCCTTAAACAGGTTGCAAGTGGCCATCTAAGATGCAATTATTATTCACTCTCCATCTGGAGTAAAGAATACTGAAGAAAAAAATTCAAGAAAGTAATTCATACAAAGAACTAATGGACTGTGCAAATCATAGCTTCTGCCACAATAAGTTAGGAAGAACTAGATGGTTTTGGAACAGCTCAGAAGAGGATCATAACAGTAAGTCCTAGATATAGAGCAAGAAAAAAATATATAAAATTCAGAAACATAGAAAGACCACAGCTACTGGTCTGATTGTTTCAGGTAGAAACTCTGAGACTGTGGTTCCTAGGTAACCCTTTGACCCTGTAAAAACTCACCCCTGAGGCTAGGGTTCAGCCAAACAAAAGACTGTAACAGCAGTTGAGTAGAAACACCTGGGGATACATAATTTACAAAAGAACAAAAGCTCAGCATTTGTCTCTCAAACATCAAATACTGGCAAGGTTGTGGAGAAACTGGAACCTTTATTCACTGTTATTGGGAGTGTAAAAGTGTTGCAGCCAGTATGAAAGGCCGCTTGGTGCTTTCTCAAAGTTGGAAATAGAAATACCACTTGGCCCAGCAATTCCATGACTGGGAATATACCCCTAAGAGACCATATAACTGCCACCCAAGCAGATATATGTACACCGTGTTTATCATGGCTTTGTTCACAATAGCAAAGATTTGGAAACAACCTAAGTGCCCATCAACAAACGAATGGATAGAAAAGCTGTGGTATATTCTCACACAATGGAATATTACACTGCTTTGAATAACAAGGAACTCAAGAAATATTACACAAAATAGGACATTATGTTGAGTGAAATATCTCAGTCACAAAAGAGATATATATTACATAATGCCACTGTTGAAAATGGAACTAACATCGTGGCTTGGGGGAGACAGAGAAAGATAGAATATACTATGTATACTGCATTGAAACAGATGAAGGAGAGAACTGTTCAAAAGGGATATAAGGGATATATGAGAAGGTATTATTGTCATGACAGGAGTCCAGAACGAAGGCTGTATAGTGGAGTGGACTT